CGCGGTCCCTCCACCATCATGTCCCCAAGGACCTCCTTACAACATGTCCAAAGTATGTCAGATGAAGTCCCCGAATCCTTGCCTCCAAGAAGGCAAGAGAAGGAAATAAAAGGTCCAAATTAGCAAAGAGGAGGTAAAATTATCACTATATGCAGATGATATGATAGTATACTTAGAAAACCCGAAAGACTCAGCAAGAAAACTATCAGACATACAATTCAGCAAAATGGCAGCATACAAGAACAACATACAAAAATCAGTTGGATTTCTCTACAGTTACAGAGAGAATACAGAGCTGGAGCTAAGAAAAGCAATACCTTTCACAATAGCTAATCACAAGATTTAATAGTAGGCAGTAAATCTAACCAGAAGCTCAAAGGATCTATTAAAAGAAAATTACAAAACATTACTACAATAAACAAAAAGATACCTGGAGAAGTGGATAGGAACTCTCAGTATTGTCAAAATGACAATACTACCTAGGCAAGTTATACTTAACAGTGCAATCCCAATACAAATACCAATTCCATTCTTCAAATGGAAAATGCAATCTCCAATTTCATTTGGAAAGGAAAGAGGCCCAGAATAAGCAAAACACTCCATAAAGAGAAACAAAGTAGGAGACATCTCGCCTCCTGATTTCAAATCCTTCTACATTGATTGCCATCGTGATCAAGACTGTGTGATACTGGCAAATGACAGACACATAGATCAATGGAATAGAACTGAGAACCCAGAAATCATGTACCTATAGTCAACTGATTTTTGACAAGGAGATGAAATCACTTAAGTAGGGAAATGACAGCCTTTTAAAGAAATAGTGTTGGCAAAATTGGGAAAGTATCTGCAGAAAACTCAAGCAAGATCTACACCTCACTCCATACAGAAAAACCAACTCAAGGTGGATCATGGACGTAGGACAAAAACCAAGGACTACAAATTTCATTAAAGAAAGACTTGGAAGAATTCTAGAAGTTCTAATCCACAACATAAATAGTCTTCCAAGCATTCTGAAAAATCTACAACCAGGAGAGGATAATGTAGATTAATGGGGCCTTCTAAGAATCAAATCCCTATACACATCCAAAAACTTCTCCAACAGGGTAAAAAGGGAAGCCACAGACTGGGAAAAAATATTTGGTAATGACATGTCAGATAAGGCACTTATATCTGGAATTTATAAAATACTCGAGCACCACAACAAGATAAAGGTAAACAACCCAATTACCCGATGGACACTGGATATGAACAGACACTTCACCAAAGAAGACATTCAGATGGCCAACAAACATGAAGAAATGTTCAAAATCATTTAACACAGATGCAAATCAAAACAACTATGAGATATCATCTCACCCTAGTAAGAATAGCAAAATTTAACAGAACAGCAAACAACAAATGATGGAGAGTTTGTGGAGAAACTGGAACCCTTATTCATTGTTGGTGGGAGTGTAAAATGGTGCAACCACTATGAAAGGCTGTATGGCGCCTTTTCAAAAAGTTAAAAATAGACAAAACCATTGGACCCAGCAATTTCGCTATTGGGAATATACCCTAAAGAAACCATAACTGCCACCCAAGCAGATATATGTATACCTTTGTTCATTGCGGCTTTGTTCACAATAGCAAAGAGTTGGAAACAACCTAAGTGCCCATCAGCAAATGGATGGATAGAGAAGCTCTGGTATATTCACACAATGGAATATTATGATGGGGTGAAAAACAAAGAACTCATGAAATATTATTCAAAATATATGACCCTGGAGGACATTTTTCTGAGTGAAATATCTCAGTCACAAATGGACAAATATAGGGGCTCTCCGGGAGGGGGGGCAAGATGGCAGCCCAGGTGCTGGGTTTGCTGCAGGAGGTCTCGCGGTTAGAAGCACCACTGGAGGAGCTGCGCGCGCTGCATTCGGTCCTGCAGACCATGCCGCTCAGCGAGCTCCGGGAGCAGATGGCAGAGATGCACCTCGGCCCGCTTTTCTCCCTGCTTAACCAGAACCACCAGGAGCAGACTACTTTGTGTGTATCCATCCTGGAGAGATTGCTCCAAGCTATGGAACCAGTTCACATGGCTCGGAATCTGCAGGTTGACAGGCAGAGAGGACAAAAAATTAAAAAAAAAAGAATTAAAAAAAATAAAAACCCCAAATGGACAAATATAGCATAGTGCCACTGTTGTAAAATGGGACTAACATCAGGGCTGAGGGGAGACTAAGAAAGAGGAGACAAATAATGTATGCTGCATTGAAACACATAAAGGGGAGAACTGTTTAAAAGCGATATATGATTGGGTATTGTGTTATGACAAGAGTCCAGTATGAAGGTTGTATAGTGGAGTGTATTTGTAGTCGGCGGGGAGGGGGGATTGTATACAATGCACGAATTTTACTTTGCAGAGAGAAGAGTGAACTGTGGAGGGGAGGGGTGGGCAGGGAGAAAAATGCAACAATGAATGAATGAATAGAAAACCAAAATCTCTGTAAACATTCATTAAAATTAATAAAATAAAAAAATTTTTATAAAGAAGCTGAAATATATAAAGAAGAACATGGCTTCAGGATTGGAGAAAAATTCATCAACAACCTGAAGGTGAATAAATATACTCTACACTTCTTAAGCTGAAAGAAGTGGGGAACAGTTGAGAATTTCAAGAGTGAAAGATTCTATGAGAAAAATATTTAATGATATACAGGAATCATCAAATAAAGAATACACAAAGTTATGTATCAAAAGAACTGCTAGATGAACCCACTAGCCAGGGGCCTTTATCCCACCCACAACCTTCACAACCATATATGGCAGCCCTGGGTGATTTTTTTTTTTACACTTTTAAAAAATTAATTTTAATGAAAGTTTACAGAGACTTAGGGTTTCCAGTCATTCATTGCTGTACTATTCTCCCTGTCCACCCCCACCCCAAATTCACTTTTCTCCTTGATAAGTAAAAGAAAGACTCTTTCATTGCTATGAAATCCCTCCCCCCAAGTCCACTGCACTGTGTAGCCTTCATTCTAGACTCCTGACATGACAATAATACCTAATCATATATCCCTTTTAAACAGTTCTCTCCCTCATCTGCTGTAATGTGGTATACATCATTCTTCCCCTTCTTCTGTCTCCCCTCAACCCCAATGTCAGTCCTGTTTTACAATAGTGGCCCTATGCAATATTTGTCCTTTTTTGACTGAGATATTTCACTCAGCATAATGTCCTCTAGGGCCATCCACTTAGCATAATAATTCATGAGATCCTTGTTTTTCAATGCTGCATAGTATTCCGTTGTGTAAATATCCCAGAGCTTCTCTATCCATTCATTTGTTGATAGGCACTTGGGTTGTTTCCAGCTCTTTGCTACTGCAAACAAAGCCATAATAAACATGGGTGTGTTTAAGTCCTGGGTGATTCTAATCTAATTGGATCACGACTAGTTCTCATTTACAAAATCATTGGTAATTTTCTCAAAGTGAGTTGTAGGAGATAGTTGATCACAACTCAGAGTGAACTTTGACCTATAGATTGTTTTCTTTGCTGTATTGAGGGTTTGGAAATGTGAATGAAAGGAAAGGAAGTACCTTGAACTTGGAATATTTAGAGGGTCTGATTTGGGGGACCTGCAGCTCCTGGGCTATTGAAGGACTAGGAAGAGGCCAAAGTCCACGTACTGTAGCACCACCACATCCCCCTGTCCATGCTAACATCTCCCATTCCAGACTGAAGTAGAGACCAGCCCATGAGCAGATCAATGTATATTGTTCATTTCTTGAGAGTAAGGCTGTAGCTTTTTCAAAATGGCATTTCTCACAAGAGCTGCTATGTAAATAAAACAATGTTATGGCAAATGGATTCTGAAACTTAATCAAGTGATTCAAAAGCTTGTGAAATCGACCAGTAAAAGACTACAGTTAGTACGAATGAGGAGCTCCTATTAAAAAAAAATCCTCTGAGTTTTGAGATTCTGACAAAGATGGGCTTAAGAGTTCTGCTAGGCTTGCGTAGTTATAACCTGAATTGACTGTAAAGGGATCAAAACAGGAAGGGGCATGTGGGCTTAACAGTATAACTGGCACATGGGTCAGTATCACCAACTCTCTCTGGCAAGGCCATTGGGTCCTCATTTTATAGACCCAGAGTCACAGAGATGGTTATCCAAATAACTAGAATAGAACCTGAGGATTTAAAGGCACCAGAACAATGTAGTCTTCTGCCCCCAGGAAGGTTCAGAGGGCAGTCTGCTGAGCAACCAAGGGGAGATTTTTAAGAGACAAGGAGGGTCTTTGCATTAGATTTGACAGTAAAAATAAGCATGAACACACTTTCCAAGTATGTAAGTGGACCCATGGGAGACATTATATGTGTCAGAGTGGAATGGGGTTTTGTAGGATTTTTAATGGCTGATCACCAAGTCTTTCTTCTGAGGTGCCTTTGCTAGACTCAAACTTCCAAACTTTTGCTCAGTCATCAAGCAAATTAACTGTTTACTTCCATTTCCTCTCAGGCTCTCTGGACAAGAAGAAGACAAGACACTTTGGATTTCTCTAGCCTTTCTTAATGACAGTCAAATGGCATCTACACTTGAAATATATCAAGACTATCTTAATTTCACTCCCTTGTATATAAAATAAACTGTTAAGTGGCCATTCTTTAGGCATTGCATATTTTGCCTATTTGTCACAGAAGGGAAAGGTATAACTTGAATATAATTGGCAACTGGGTCATTTTCTATTGGTCTCTCAGGATAGAATCTGCAGGCAGAAAGTCTGATTATTTATTTTTCTCTCTTAAAATTGTGTAAGCAAGTTTGTCCATACTCTTCCTATTGCCTTATACTTCTCATTTCAAGAAATAATGAGCTTTCCATATCTTTCTCCCAGCACACACACACACACACACACACACACTCGGGTGGAAACCAGTTTTCAGGAAAAATTCACAAACAGAAACATTTGCAAACTTCAATGTAACACTCATTAAAATGCAAATAAAAAGGACTGTACCTAAGAAAGGTTCCCAAAGTTGGTCTGAGGAGGAAGGAACATTTCTCCTGATGGCCATTGGTAAAGGGGCTGAAGATGCTGACAGGGGCTTGCTCCAGCGTCCTGGAGCTTACTTCCTGCAGGCAGAGGGGACAGCACCTGGGCACAGTGAAGCTGTAGATGCATTTCTGGCAGTGGTTGAATTTAATTACAGTCCTTCCGGTCTCAGGGTCGCCCATAGCTCAAGCCTCTGGGCCACTGCAGGAGGTGAACCGGACTTGATCTTCACTGCTTACAAGGCAGTGCAGATGGCTCAGCCGACGCAGGTAACCCAATCAAGAGTGATGTCGTGTTGACTGACAGTTTCAGAAGCAAACCAGGTAGGATGACCTGGGAGCCTGGCTGTCCCATGGCTGGGTGCTTAAAGAGATAGCTTGCACTTGATCTCACCTTCCAGTCCTTTATACGTTTTACAACTGCTGAAAGCTGTGACGCTTACTTCATTCCCCCCCAGTGGAATTTTAGCTTGAAGCGCTGTCTTTATATTTCTTCCAGAGACTTGTTCTATAATTATTAGCCTGGAGCACCTAAGAGTTAGGGACTAAGTTCTACATTTTGCATTCATAGCGCACTGGTGGCTTAGTAGTAAGGAAATGCTTTGCCAATAAAAAGTAAGTAGTTCAATCCACTTTAAAAAAATTATAAAAAAGCTGCTCTATGAGAAAGATGGGCAATTGCCTTCTGTGAGATTTACTGCCTCTGAAAACCTGCTGGAGGGTCAGCTATCACTCAGTTTTGACTCCACAGCACATACCACCACCACCACCACCACCACCAGTCTTACCTATAAAAAAGCAATTAATTGCACAGTTAGAAAGAAGGATACTGGGGGATTTTGTTGGCGAGAAAATGCTGAAGACGTTATGAGAATTTTCTGGGATATGGGACTGTTCGGATTAATTGGGTGCTGACTCTTTGCAAGTTTTAAGTTTGGGAAAGAAATTGAGCAATTTCACAAAAACACAGGTGCTCTAGTAGCATAGTTCATGGCAGACTATTCTGCTATTCAAGAGGCCTTGTGTCTCTGGTGGTTCATGTCAGCCAGCAAGTCTGTAGAAGATTGACAGCTGCCTTTGGTTAAGATTTATAACCTTGGAAACCCAAATACAGGGTTGCTCTGAGACAGTCAGGATTGACCTGATGTTAGTGAATCTGAATTTTGACTCAAAAAGATATTCCAAAAAAGAGAAAATAGGGGAATGAAAAATCCTCCCCATCATTTCCCCAACAACAATATTCTAATTCCTGGAGAAAAGGAATTTATTCTAAGTGAGTATTTTGATATAATTATTTTAAACCCCACTGTCACACTGCATATTGTTTCAAAATCTATTTCCTCCCTTGTCATCTTGGAAACTTTTCAAACTAACATTGTTCATCCTTGAAAGTTACTGAAAAAACAAGAGGTGAGGGAGGGTTGGGAGGAGTGAAAAGTGCAACAATGAATGAATGGAAATCCAAAGTCTCTAAATTTTCATTGAAATTAATAATAAAAAAAATTTAAAAAACGTTTACTGAGGTATGAGCCTCTGTTCCTTTCCATTTGGCTAAATTACCTCTTGGCGTTGATGTCATAAGTACTCTTAATTAAGAGCCCCTTGGTCACTCAAACAGACTAATATACATGCCACATGGTTTATATGAATAATGGACAATTTTAGGTGTTTATCATCTAAGCTTGGTATTTTACTATAGTTTGTCTGTCTTCATTGTAAGAGAAGAATAGATAAAATGGTGTCTGAAGTCTTTTTTTGCACTGTAAATATGATTACTATTGTTATAAAAGAGCATCTGATTTTTCCATGGACTGCTAGGAAAACTAAAAGATTTGTCCTGGAAAGGGTTAAACCGGGTGGCTCCTTGGAGGCAAGGATTCTGGGGCTTCGTCTGACATACTTTGGGCATGTTGCAAGGAGGGACAGGTCCTTGGAGAGGTACATCGTGCTTGGGAGGATGAAGGGAAGAGGGGAAGGCCCTCTATGAGGTGGATTGATTCAGTGACTGGGATAATCGGGATGGGATTGTCAGAGACAGTGCGATTGGCACAGGACAGGGCAGAGTTTAGGGCTGTTGTACATAGGGTCGCTATGAGTCGCAAGCAACTCGACGGCACATAACAAACAACATTCCTTGGAAAGGGACATTGTGCTTAGAAAGGTGGATGATCAGTCAAAGAGATGAAGACCCTCAATAACTGCAGGAAATGAACACAAGTATGTCAGAAATTATGAAAATAGCACAGGATTCAGATCTATTGTTCATAGGGTCACTTTGAGTTCCACTTGACAGCACTTAACTAAAACAACAATATCATGAAGATGAAAAGATGGAAATTCCAAAAGCTTGATGAGTACCAAGCACATAGAAACCAAAAGAATGTGTTCAAAACATACTAGAATGACACTTTCCAAAACTAAAGTCAAAGAATAATCCTGAAAGTAATTCAGGGGGAAAAAGGAAAACATTACGTACAAAGGAGAACCAATAAAACTAAGGTCTGGGCACTTGGTGATCTTCCTGGTCATGGTACAGGTGCTTGGCCTGGCCAAGTTTCTTGTTCAGCACTAAGATGCTTCAGAACCTTGTTAAGAATGTTTTGGTCCTCAGAAAATCCTAGTACACCATTGACTCACAGTCACCAGTAATCTACTTCTCACTGGGAGAGACATAAGCTGGCTATAAACTTAACAAGCAATATCAGCAGGCCACCACCATGGCCACACATGGCTGGCCTGGTGCACAACAAGACACAACAGGTACTTCATATGAATCAACATATGTGACATCTGTATTTAATCGCATTTTAAAAAATGGTGACCCAACATATTGTGGAAATTATCTACCAATATCACTAATATAACATGCAAGCAAGATCCTGGCAAAGATTATAAATTAAAACCAACTCCAAAAAAAATCGTAGTTCAGCAGAGAACTTAAAAATGTGCAAGCTGGGTTTGAAAAAGGCTGTGGTACTAGGGACATCATAACCAATGTTAGATGGATCTTGGCTGAAAGCAGAGTACCAGAGGAATGTCTATTTATGTTTTACTGACTATGCAAAGGAATTTGACTGTGTAGATTGCAACAAATTGTGGCTAGCCTTAAGAAGAATGGGAATCCCAGAGCACTTGATTGTGCTCATGTAAAATCTAGACTTAAACCAAGATGCTATAGTTAGAACAGAGCAGGGAAACACTGCATGGTTCAGGATAAGGAAAGATGTGCATCAGGGATGCATCCTATCTCCACATTTTCCCATGCTATATGAGGAACAGATCACTACAGAGGCTGGACTTTATGAGATATATGGCATCAGGATTTAAGGAAGACTTCATCAACAACTTTCCTTATGCAGATGACACAACCTTGCTTGCTGAAACTGAGGAGGACATGAGGTGTTTGCTGCAAAAAGTCAAGAACTGTATGTAGTGTTCAATATAGATTGAAACTGAACATCAAGAAGACAAAGATTCTCACCACTGGATGAATTGGCAGCTTCATGATAACTAGAGAAGAGATTGAGAGTGTTAACAACTTCCGTTTACTTGGTTCCACAACCAACAATCTTGGCACCAAGAGTAAGGAAATAAAAAGATGAGTACTAAAAAAAGCAACTATGTCAGTCTGAAGACCAAGATATACCTGATATAGGCCATGATCTTCACAATTGCTTGCTATACATCAGAAAGCTAGACAATGACTAAGGATGACATTGTTATTGATTGTCTTTGAGCCAAGCAGGACTCATAGAGACCTTATGAGGGGTCTAAAGCCCCTCTACAACTACCAACATTTATGAAAGTTCATACAGTCTCCGGAGGCATATTATTTAGGAAGAGGATGCCACTCCTGCAAATCAATGCCTTTGAGTTGTGAGGCTGGAGAAGAGTGTTGAACATACATACCATGGATTGCCAAGAGAACAAACAGATATTTCCTTGAGAGGGTAAAACCAAGCTGCTCCCTTGAGGCAAGGACTTTGGACACGTGACCAGGAGGGACCAATACTTGGAAAAGACCATCATGTTTGCAAGGGCGGTGAGACACTGCAGGGAAGGAAGATCCAGGATGAAGATGGATTGGACTGGAGAAATGGGATTAGGCCTGTTGGAGACAATGAGATTGGCTCAGGATAGGACAGGGTTCAGAGTTATGAACCCATCATAAAGCCTCTATGAGTCACAGGTGACTTGATGACATAACAACAATACTGACTTTTTTTTTTTTTATGGAAAAGTAAAAGAAAAGATTCTTTCATTGTTTTACAAACCCTCCCCCAGGTCCCCTCCACCATGCAGCCCTCGCTCTAGTCTCCTGTGAT